ACCTAAAATGTACCAATAAACTCAATAAGGAAAAAAAAAAGTATTCCAGGTCCTTCTTGTCTCAAACAAAGAGTTAGATGAGACAAGCCAAGAGTGGTGTCAAAAGTTTATTTGATGTAGGGTGAATGGGTATGGAAGAAACCAACTCTGCAGAGCAAACTTTGGCTGAACAAGGAGAAAAAGGGTAAAAGAGGGTAAAAAGGAAGTATGTGGCACAGACTACCGTGAACATTTACATGCAATAGCAGCTTCCTATGATGGCCACTCTTTTTCTGCCCTCCACACCTCCGGGGAGCTCAAAAGAAGTTCTAGGGATACGATGTCCTCTCGTTGCCCTGGGATCTTGTGATGGACAGGTCCTGTTCATTTCCCCAGCCAGCTTTGCCAGGCCCTGTCTCCTACAACATACCAACGTAACTCCAAACTCAAAAGTCAAATATTGCCAAGTCGTTCCCACCACCTCTGAAGCTTTACAACACAAACAAATACTGGAGCTCAATGCAATCCCACCAAATTAGAACATCTGGGGATAAGTCTAGGAATCTGTGTTTTGACAGAGCTTCATAGGCTACTTTCACATAACCAGGATTAAGAACCACTTTCTTGATCAGAGACTGTATTGTCTCCCTCTTATGACCATATGCCAAGGAATTAGGTATGTCTTGGACTGCCATAGGGTCTAAACACTTTGAAGACAGGTTTTATTCGGTTAACTACCTTGACCATTTTCCGGGCACTAAGTAAGGTCCCTTATACACAATGTATTTTAGAAACTAAAGAACAAAGAATACATCTTCTGTTAACTTTATTAAGAAGATAACGTACATCTTTGCAGAGTACAGCAGGCCCTTTGTATCCATGGGTTCCACACCCAGGGATTCAACCATAGATGGAAATTCTTTAAGAAGAAAAAAATTGTGTTTATACTGCACATGTACAGACATTTTCTCTTGTCATCATGCCCTAAACAATACAACTATTTATATACACTTTACATTGTATTAAAAATTACAAGTAATCTAGAGATGATTGAAAGTACATAGGAGGTCTTTGTAAATGGGGGAGGATGAAGGGAGTGAAGGGAGGGCAGAGGTATGGGGTAAAAAGGAGAACCAAGACCTGCCATGTAAAGGTATGAGAGCCCAATGATGAATGCAACTGTACTATATGCTTAAAAAGTACCAATAAACTCAATAGGATAAAAAAATTTAAAAAATAAAGTACACAGGAAAATGCACATAGGCTATATATGAACACTATACAAGTTTATGAGAAATTAGAAGATCCACTGATTTTGGTATCCACAGGAGTCCCGGAACCCATACCTCATAGATACTGAAGAATGAACACACTGAATAAGCCTTCTACTAGGTTTTTAATCTCTGATACTGACCTGGAAATTTAGCAAGTCATTCAGATCTCTGCGTGGCATAGTTGCCTGGCTATTAGGTATCCAAGGTAGGGATTAAACCCAAGTTCTACAGTACCTGTCATGTAAAGGTACAAGATCCCAATAATGAATGTAACTGTACTGTATACCTAAAATGTACCAATAAACTCAATGACAAAAAAAACAAACCCCAGGTTCTACTGAAAATCCTCTTTCCTTTATTTCTCAATTCTAAAAAGCAACTATAGAATGAACAATTTGGCTACCTACATGTTTGGATACATGCTAGATATGTTTCTAAAATTTGAACATAACCTGTTACATAAGAAAAAAAAGGCTCTGTTGGCATTATGAAATAAATTTGGAAAAAATACATTAGATAAGCCTAAAAATTAGTTCTGAGATTTTACAGATTTTGCTTTCTTTAGCCCCACCTTCCCTCACATTCACTGATTATTCTTTGGTATTTCTTGGCAACCATTTAGTTATGACATTTGGTAATTGTCCTGACTTTTCGACCCTTTCTTAGTTTTGCTATTGTCTTACTTTTCTGTCATTGCTGAGTTAAAATACCCTATACCCAAAATTACAGGGAAAAAGGTTTACATAGCTCACAGTTTGTAGAGCTTCAGTCCATAATCGGCTAGCTCCAAGGCTGGGTGGCTTCACAGAGGAGAACAATTCATGGTGGGCAGAAGAAAGCAAGCAACAAGGCACTTTAGCAACATTTTTCTGCCCCTTATATTGTATCCAGGGTACCTGAATTAGAGTTGTGCCAAACCAAGCAGCATACTGATTTAATAATCACATACCCTCAATCCCAGCACCACACACTCTAGATTCAGCCACCTCTGAAAAAGTCCCACCTATGACCAAATGAGGCTTTGGTGGGGGACATATAGACCCAAACCATAAGAGTTATTTCTCAAAGACTTTTGAAAGAACCTGAGCTTCTGGTTATGAATGAAATCTTTTTGAAGATTCATAAGATAGTTTACCTAAGGTAATAAATTGGCATCTGGTATATAATTCAATGTTTTAAATGTTTCCTTCACTATGAATATGCACATACAATGCGTACAGAGATAACAAAGTTGAAATGACACCCAAATGAGACCAAAAAGCCAGCCCAGGCTATCATTTATTTCCAGGCTGCTGGGTGACTTTGTACAAGGAGTGAACTTTCCAGAGCCTCTTTCCTTACCTAAAAAATGAAAGAGGGGGGCTAAGATAGATCCTTCCAAATATGAAGTGCTATGATCCTTTAAAATAATAAGGCATGGGGCTGGGGATTTCACTCAGTTTCAACCACCTGCCTCACAAGCACAAGGTCATAAGTTTGATCACCAATACCAGTAATAATAATAATAATAATAATAATAATAATAATAATAATAAGGTACTTATTAGGTCTTTGGCCAACACTAATTTGATCCTTATTTTTATTAGTTAATATTTTTAAAAGAAAACAGGACATTATTTAAGAATTACAGAGTTCTTTACTGTTTTTAAAGTGTTCACTCCATTACCTTTGACCGTAGAATAGTCAGTTTTACCACCATTTCATAGAAGAGGACATTGACACACAGGCTGAGCAATTTGCCAGGGTAACACAATCAGAACACTGCAAGTCAAGACCCCTACTGGACCCTGCTTTGATCCCCCTCTGATACCACAAAGGCCTCAGGCAAAATTATCTAGTCAGGGACCAGGCAAACCTGATGTGCCCAACAGCTCCCCCACATCTGCCTTCCCCAAATGCTCTGTTGTCCAGATGCCTTTTAAATTTCTTTAGAAGAAAATACCAATGGGGATTTATTTGGCATAGCATTTCTGGGTGTGTGTTTTCCTGAGCATTTATAGATCTGAGTTTTTCCAAGAAGTTGAGTTTTCTTGATAAAACAAGACAGATCATGATAAATGAGTAGCTATGTAAGCCTCGCTGGGAGGAGGACCAGAGACTGTAACACCCCTCCTGTGAAGTTAATCCCTTTTCTGTTAGCTATTTCTTTATTAGTTAATGAGGTCTTGCAAAAAAAAAATGTGTTTCTGTGATGGTGTTTCAGTATCCTTGCCTCTAGGAACATATTCAAATATTCATAAAGTAGCTCATCTGACCAAAGCTTAAAGCAAAGGTGCATTAAGTATGAATTTAGTCAACCTCAAATGTGGGTGGTCAAAAGCTACTGCTTGAAATAACCTAAATAATCCTCATCATTGGTGTTTCCAGATCCACAGCTCTGGGTGCAGATGTGAAGGGTGACAAGGAAGAGGTGTTACTTAGAACAGCTAGAATTCTGAAGGGCAGCCCTGTAAGCTTTGATCCTGCTTCCTGACTGACAGTAGTGTGGCTCGCTTTGGGAAAGCAGAATAACTTAAGAGAATGGAAAAGGAATTGCCAGTGGAGCCCCTGGGAAGGAGAGCAGATGAGAGATTATATTGTTTCTGGGTGGCAAGGCAAGAGACCTTTCATTTCGGTTCCTTATGGCAAAGACGGAAAGGAGGGATCTCAGTAGATGGCTTGGTGCTCAGTGATGCATTTGGAGAGCAAAGCAAATGTGGAAACTCACTTAGCTCCTAAACCGAGTTCCATGGTACAGCGAACCACAGCAGTTACCTCTCTGGCCTGGTTGGGAGGTTCCTTCACATGGCAGCAGGGTGCTCAGAACAAAACTAGTGTTCACCCATACCCACCCACACGCATACACATAACTGTCTCCATGCCCTAACGCACATACATCTCAAAGTACCACCACACAAATCCTTTATATTTTTCACCCTTTTTAGAATTTTGTTTTCCCCAAAACAGAATTTTAGGAAATTGATGCTATGGCTCTCCTATATGCAAAAGTTTCGTGGTTCTGGGATGACCTGGAATATACTAGGTATATTTTGGTTAAGAAACAAAAAATTATAGTCCAATATTCTCCATCCAATTTCTGGGCAAGTACCTCAGAGCTGCCACAAAGTATTCCTGACTGTATTGCAACAGGAGCTCAAGAGATAAATCATAAGCCAAAGTCCTGTAACCATTGACCCCACAGATACTGCGATAAATCCAGCACCCCTGGTAACTCAGTGCTGCCCAAGGTGAAATGTCCTCAAAAGAACCCACACATGGCATAGCCCTGGAGTGTCTTGTTCCTTAGTCTTTGGCCTTTTGCAGTAAAGGAACACACCCTTATGTGAAGGAAAGCTCTGAGCCACACTTTGGAAAGGAGTTACCATGTACTCCTTCTCCATAAAAACCAGAAAAGAGACAAACATCGTCTAGCAATAAGCGTTAATAATGCAAATGTTTTCGTCTGCAGCTCTGGCCCAAATTTTTGTCCTTCTATCTGATTACATAATTTCCCTAAATGTGATGGGGAAAAAGTCCTAGAAAAAAAGTAGTAGCACTATAGTAATGCTACTTTGAGAAATTCTTAGTGTGTATTATTTTCTTTTGTCTCTTGCCATGAGGACACTGAGGACACATTGGCAGCCCTCATGACTGTAAAAGATACAAGCTAATGTTGTTGTTCCAGATGTAACTGCATTTCTCAGAAGAAATAAGTTACATCATGGATGTAAATTTGACTGGTGTCCTGTACTTAATGTTCTTTTCCAGGTGATTCACATAACTGGCCGACTCCGCCTGAGAGTGTCGCTGTCCCATGGGAGGACCGTCCCCAGCCAAATCATGGGTCTTGTGGTGGTGGCTCATGCCTTGCCTCCTCCTACAATCAATGAAGTCAGAATTGACTGCCATATGTTCGTCACTCGAGTAAATATGGACCTCAATATCATTTACTGTGAAAATAGGTACTTCATTTTTGTTTTCATTTGCCCTGTTGCGCGCTGCACTTTGGTGAGGGTTTGTGTTTCCAGCAGGCTGAAGGATTTTACTTTTCCAGTGAGGCTCATTATAAATCCTGATCTCATTTTTAATGGTTGCTTGGCCTGACACCAAACATCCTTTTTATTTAAAATTTACAGTGCTGCCCTGATTTACTTTAGGGACAACAGTTGCATGGACTGGGATACCCAGACACCATATGCTGTAAAGAAGGCACATTTTAGCCGAGAACCCAAGGAAAGAGCTGAACTGAGACATTATTGGCAAAATGATGCGGTCAGTAAAAGGTATCTCTTCTGATGCCTCTGCACAACCCACTTCTGATTAATTCAAGAGCTGGCATCATGATGGTCAGTATTCATGCAGACATTAAGCACAGAGAGAATAAATGAGAATTTGAGGCCCTCGGAGGAAAAAAAGACGAAAAAGGAATTTGCAACACGATTAAATAAAACTTTATCACCCTGAGGATTTTACTTTTATAAATTAAGAAAGATGACTCATCATATCAATGAGTTGGCAGTTCTTCTTTAAGTCTGAGCTTTTATAAAAGGACATTTTAGCCTCTGGTTTAAAAGTTCACTTTTTCTATTAAGCACAAAGCAAGGGACAAAGAACTGGGACAGTGCCCTTTCAGACCTTTCACCTACAAGTCATCAGCCCATCATCAGACAGAATTGAAGAGAGAATCACAGGGTACGGAGGATGAGGAAAGAGGCCCACATATCAGCCTTGAGAAGGCAGCCTGGTGATACTATCCATCTCCTGGTGCCACAGGGAGAATTACTGAGTCTGTTTGGGGAGGATGCTTTTATGGCACAGATTATTGTCCGGCTTGAAGGCAGTATATGTTCAGCCAGCCCTGTGAGTGCCTTCAGAGGGGAAATGAAAGAACAAAATGGACAAGTGGCTGGGGTAATTGACCTCTCCCAGAGGCCAGCCAGGAGGAAGTCAGACAGCTCCTGCTTTCAGTCCACCAAGAAGGGACAAAGGTAGAGATCACGTTAGAAACCGCTTACCACTCCCAGCCAGGATCTGAAAGAGGAAGGATTTCTCCAGTGGAAAAAGACACCCACTTAAGCTGTGAGTGTTCCATAGGAGAGAATGTTTCATGAACCTGTCACTATTATTTCATAAATAACTCTAAATCTGCTCTTCAGGTTGTGCTGGCATTTGTTAAAATTTTTATCATCATGACTGTGTACTTGCGTTTGTCTAAGATATTCTGGAATGGCCATAAAATATTGAGAAAGACAAGTTAGAATGATTAGATGGTGATGGCAAGAAATAATAAAAAGAGCTGACGTTTAATGGATATATACTACATGCTCAGCCATGTCCACTGTCTCATGTAAGCTTCAGGACAGTAAGGGACCTGCTACCACTATCTTTATCACTTATGGGCAGTTTTGGCTCACAGAGAAAGGATTTTTTTTTTTTAAAACTGGGGATCGAACTCTGGCCCTTACGCTTGTGAGGCAGGCAGCAGCACCACTGAGCTAAAGCCCTGGCCAAGAAAGGATCTTTTGCCCTTGGCCAAGACTTAAACTCAAAACTGCCAGACACAAAAGCCATTGCTCTTAAGTACATCCTGTGAGGTTTCCCTGGTCTCATTTTTCTTTTAAGGTCAGACTGTATAGCTAGGGACCAGTCAGAATAAACTCTGAAAATGACTTTCCATACATATGCATCATGAAAGAATATAATTGCCACCCACAAAGCTGCTTAATTTCTGATTAAAAATTTACAATACTTCAGGAGGAGACCCAACCACGGGAGGCAGAGACAAAGTCAGAGGATAAGCATAGCTTACTTTCATTCAGATTCACCATCATTCCCTCAAAAAATAATAATAATAATAATAATAATAATAATAATGCAGCTTTGGCTTATTTATCAAACTTCCAATGATTGCCCTATCCCAAAACATCACCTCATTTTCATTCCTGTTATCAATTGATTAATTCTTTTGACAAGCTCCATGGACCTGAATGCCTCATGGCACTGATTTACTACTTGAGATCATTTTCTGTGACCCACTTTTAGGTTTTTTTCTTTCCATATTAAAAAAAAAAAGCTGCCTATAACCTCTATTAGCCAATACAATATAGCATTACTTCCCAACTGAAGATGACAGTAATTATGAAAAAGACCTGTATTAAAGGTAATTGCATATTTAATCTACAGAAAAAGCATACCTGAGCCACCAAAATGTTATGTTAACTTCATTTCATTCATCAGTCCCCTCACCAACCTCTGAGGTTGCTGTATAGAGAAGGAAACTGAGGATCGGAGTAAAAAACATTTCCCAGAATTCTGGTTTGCTGTTTGCTATGCATTTTTTAAGAAATCCTTGATGGCTGAGCTGGTCACATTCACCACGGTAACAGGTTCTGGTACATTTTGAATGATGTAATTCAAATAAAAAGCAAACTAAAGAGATGCCGTCCCTAAAGAATGGAGCAGCTTTTTCCTGGGGTTTATTATTTAATTAGGGAAGTGTTAACTAGAAACTGAAGCTTGCTCCTTGGGCTGCAGACCATTCTTCGGAGCATTCCTAAGGATGGCCTCCGGCAAAGCCAACATCTAATGCTTTCAGAGGGGCTGGCAAACTTCAGAAACGCCAAAGAGTGTCTTTTAATGACATCCTTGTTCCCTCATTTGCAGAAAAGGGGTATAAACTGCACTTGGAAAACAGGCTAATGACTTTAGGAAAACACCAGCTAAATCATTCTTAAGAAAACACTCCTGTTCATTTCCCCAACTACTCTTACTCCTCTAAGAATTCTAGTTTGGCCAAAAATATTTAAATCGCTAGTCATTGAGGAATTCACTTATGAAGTAGTGCATTTAGTAATATTCTATAGTATTTTGGTTTTGTTTTTCCATTTCTATGCCTTGGTGTGTAGAGGTAACTTCCCATCCATAATCTCAGCTGTTTCTTAAACATATCACTTCCAAAGATTCACTTTACATTTGAATAGACCATCTGTCATAAATCATACTACAGGGACAGTAAAGAGAGTAAATTAAACAAAAATCCCACTTTGGGCTGACCAAAATAAATCCATACTTGGTGATACAGAGGGTAATAAGTACTTGAACATGTCAAACTAGGCAGATTCCCCCCATCATGCTCTGCCTGGGGACAGTGATGTCTGGACAATCAGTGACAGGGGCTTGTGCACCCTCACTGTGGAGCACAAGCCTGGAAGAGCTGCTGCAATGGTGTAAAAGTTTCTGTGAGGAATCCACCACAAAGTACCAGTTAAAAGAGCCAGAAGTGAAAGCTGAGCTCCCAAATGACTAAGACTAAAAAAAATAATACCCCCAGGCATCTGTATGTCTCAGCATTTAAATTATATCCCTTGAAATGCCAATTTGGACTTTATGCCAAGAAGCAGTTGAAACCCTTTTTCATGGAAATACCCAATAGAAGAGCAATCTGTTTAAATGAAAGGTGTCTCTAATCATTTGGTATAAACATAACATGTTTTTATTTTATTATGTAACCTTGAATTATCTTGGCCTATAATGAGGATCTTGCATTGTTACTGATTCTCAATAATTTCATGGAATTATGTTGTCTAAATGTTCACTCTAATGCCAAAAGAGAAGAAAAGAAAAACCTATCTAATCATTTAAACACAACTGCTTGATCTAGCACATTTCCTAGTTTTGCAAAGCCTGGTGCCACAGCCTCCTGGGTATACCTAGCATGATAAAAATGTGTCAGTGGATCAGTATCAAGAGTTATTTGACAGTCTCTCCATTTTCCTCTTTTCTAAGTTCCAGCCTGTGTTCTTCTCTTTGTAGAATTAGTGATTACATGGATTTGACCCCTGTAGACATCGTAGGGAAAAGATGCTACCACTTCATCCACGCTGAAGACGTAGAGGGCATCAGGCACAGTCACCTGGACTGTAAGTACCCCTGTGTGGGCAAGAACCCTGGCTGATGTCGTCTCTCCCTGACCCTTGTCTGGCTTCAGTGTTGATTTTTCCCTTCATCTCTCCTGCATACACGTGAGAGGACTGTCGGCTTGCAGTGAGAAAAAGTGAGACGTAAACCATTTCAGCCTGTACTGTCATTAGGTTGAAAGTCGGACCACAGGCCCAGAGAAATTGCTGGATCTTTAGGCACTCACCCAGAATTTCATGGTTTCTTGTGCTTTCTCTCCCATGAAGTGGTGAGGGAACCTCTGTCGTAAGTGCTTCCTTGACCCTTTCATTTTCTAGAGAGCAAGTTCCACATTGAAATTTGTGGTCTCTGTTTCCTAGTACACGTGGGAGAAGACAAGTTCACATAGGCCAGAGCCTCATAAAAACGCCTAGCTGACTGGCCACAAAAGCAGAGTGAGAGAGAAGCCCAGGGATGGGGGCAGAGCAAATACTGTGAACACAACAGCTCTTTTCAGGAAATTTCTGGGAAGATGGTTATTCAGAAGAAGAGGTACCCTAGCCTCTGGCTCCTGGGATAAGGAAACAGACCTTCACTCTGTGTCTAGCTCCAACTCCCGACCCTTAGGCTGAACTCCAAGGGACCTACCTCTGTGACCTGTAGGCAAGTGGGACCAGTAGCAGCCCAGTGGGATACAGGCAGTGACTACACACCAGCATCTTCCTGCGCTTTTCCTCAATGACCCCTGGGTGACTTGTATGTAGAAGGGATCTGACAAGAACACTTCTTTGGGGGACTTTTTAGGAAGGAGGGTACTCTCTTCCAACAAGTGCTCTTTCTAGGACCATCCAACATGGTCCATCAGCCACATTCTAGAATGTTCTAAAGCCAGGTTTCCACTCTGATTTTTAGTACATGCGAGGAGCCACACACAAAATGGTACAGCCTAACAGTGAAGCTTTTATGTAGTAATCACAGTCAAATAGTCTGTATTTACCCCGCTCCCCTTCCTTGTCGTGGTTGAAGAGAGCTATTTTGAATCTTTCCTGCCCTTTGCAGTGGTTCCCTCATTTCAAACTCAGATCTTCACATGCAGAATGGAGATAGTAAGCTAGCCGGTCTCCACGTGTGACCATCTTGTACTGTATCTTTAACCTTGTATCAGCAGCACTGACAGGAGACCAAATTCCATGTCAAATCCTATATATATATACTATGTCTCCAGGCAGAGCCTGCTTGCAAAGCTGCTCTCTAGCACATTCCACTCCCAACACTGGCACATGCCTTGACATTGCACACCAGGGATTTAGGGAACACACTTGTTGCTAAAAATGAATGGGTGTCATGTATCACAGAAGCAGATGGCTTTTCAATTAATTGGGGGAAAAATGATGCTGTTTGCTGAAAAGAAACATCAGGTTCTTTGTTGCTGGGAATTCAGGAAAAATGGAGAAGGCTCAAGATCTTTAAAGGAAGCTGTGGACATAATTTTGCAACAATAAAAGCTAAAGATCTTGGCTTTAAAAATGAATATGTTGTTTTTAGGATATTGTCATAGGCCATGTGTGTGGGGGCACAGGTGCTTTTTCACTGTGGAATCTTAATTGAGGTCTAAATTCATAAACCTGACATGACAAAAAAGAGTTCTGTAATCCTTGGTTATTATTTGGAAAACGTCATGCTGTCTTTCTGAGATGTGCTTTACAGCTTGAAGAAACACAATTCCTCAGGAACAGTGAGCTAGGGCAGTTCATTTCTTCCTATAAAGCAAAGGTCTCCAACAAATATGTTTGATGCCATTCTTTCCAATCTACTTTTTGGGGGGGTACTAGGGATCGAACTCGGGCCCTTGTGCTTGCCAGGCAGGCAGCAGAACCACTGAGCTAAATCCTCGGCCCTCCGATCTATTTTTATCTCATTTTCAGTAGCCAGAGTAATTTGCGAGCCTTGAAAATAAACTACTCAGCCTTTCACTATTGTGCCATCCTCCTAATTTTTCTGGTGCCTTGCCAATTAATAGATAGGGAATGTAAGTTTTCAAATTCTGTGATTTTTTTTCACTACTTGATATTGACATACTAGCTATTGCTTTATGATTTAGCCTACTAACAATGATTGAGTTCACTCTTTTAACTCATACACATGACTTTTAATTTTGAGTTCTTTTAATAACCTTAAATACATGAAAAAACAAATAGAGTGAGCTGATAATTCTGCACGATAAAATACACTTCACATATTTAGCTATCATGCTGTGGAATAACTCCACAATGTCAAGTAGCACACAATTAGTAAAACTGTAGGGGGAGGAAAAGGAGTGTTTTGATCCTGAAGAATTTTGATCCTAATCAGATTGAAATTTCAATGTTCTTGTAGTGCTTAATATCTTCAATCACACACACAAAAAATCAAACTGATTCCAATGTCAGGTTTTGCATTCTGTGACTGAAATAAAATGCTAAAATATACAAATGCATCTCGCTTTGTACAATAAACATTAACATCATTATAAAGTAAGATTGAGTCTAAAATTGTGTGATGGAATGTCTGATGTTTACCTAATTCTCAAACCAAAGCCAGCCTCATAACAAAATGACAGAGCATATAATAAGTCTTGGTTGTGTAAACACTGGAAGAAAAGGCAAAAAGCCAGCACAGCACCTTGCTGGTCCGAAGCCCTAGGCTATTACTGAAGGGTGCCTCAACTCTGCCTCCTTGGCCGGAGAAGGTCATGGTGACATAGCACCAGTTCGAGAATAAGATAGAATTCTAAAACAAAGGGATGGTTAAAAAATAAACCACATTAACTATTTAGCTTTTCTTCCTCGAGCTATTGGCACAACTCCTGGTTCTGCCTATGAAAGACAGGTTTAGGCATCTGATCATACTTCTGGTATCTTGATGTCTGCCTTATACTCTAGTTTATAGATAAAAAACACAAGTCTTTAGTAACTAAAAATACTGTCTTTATCACTGGGACTTTTTTCGTAGCACAGGCATCTGTAAATCAATACATGAACTTCTCTCTAGCATAGGAAAACTAAATGGGAATCAGCTGCACCTGGATTTGACAACTCTGATCAACCGAACCAAGAACTTAGGACCATCTGTTCTCCCAGTGGGCTAACTTGCGAGGTCTATGTAAAGCAGTTCTACATAAATAATCACTAAGAATCACAGTAGTGATGTCACCATGCTGGGCTAGTAAAATTAAATGAGGGCTCTAAAACCAAGGAAGTTTCAGGGTCCTTTCAGGCTGTGACCAGAGACCTCTGTGATTTCTTTTCTTTAAGCCCAATTTCACTGATTCTTCAGGTCAAATAGACCAAGTCAGCATTTAGAGTTTTAAATCATAAACCACTCACATTAGTAGTTATTTGGACACCTTGCCCTTACATCCTTGTGCAGTCCTCTTGCTCAGCGATGCTGACCTGAAGGTGACTGGTCATGTCTCCTAGAGCCAAATCCTGCAATTACCCAAGCATCTGTGCTGCCTTAACTCAGAGAGGTTACGGTACAACCACCCACCACTCTACCTCTGCCTGTAACCTGAAGAGTAGAATGCTGAACCAAATACAGATACATGCTTTGCATTTCTCTCTATTCCCCATTAATCCAGTCTTTTGTCTATAGAAGGAGCTGAATTTATCTTGACACATCCCTAGGGCTCTCCCTGGGTCAAATCAGCAGCAACTCTCTGAAATCTTAAAGCGGGGGAGTATTCCTTCCTCCTTATGACATTTTTTTTTCTCCATCAGCAAGTCTTAAGTTGCAGCTGTTGGATTTCAAGAAAAGGGAGCCATGGAGTACAGATAGGGTGGCAGTTTTCCCTTCCTAGCACCTGACCCAGGATTGGAGAATTCTGTAAGAATTATCCTAGAGAAAGACTTCCAGATTGTGTAGGGGACCAAGTGGACATAAAAGCCCATGTCATAACCAATATACTTGGAGGTGGGTGTTTAAAAAACTACAGTACCCTAAGTGTTTATTTCCATTTATTTAATTATAAACTTCTATCCTTCTTAGCACAACTAATATACAGCTACCTGGCATAATGCATTGCATGCTGTTTTGCATCAATAACCCCTACATCTCCCTCCTGAAGGCGTCTCATCGCCAAATGCAAGCAGACTGCTTAATGCAGGACTAATTAGTATATCCCCTTCCAGTCTTCGGGCCCTCCATTGTAATTCCTTCCCAGCTCATTTTTTTTCCACAACCGAGCATCAATCAAAGTAAGTGCCCTGCCTGCCTAGGCAACACAAGATGTCCTCCATGCATTTGTCATCTGCCACACAAACAAAGGGAGAATTTAATTGTTGATTTGGGTATGCAGCCATTGCACACAGTAAAGGGAGCTGCAAGGGAAGGAAGAAGGGCAGCAATAAAGTGTGAGGGGTGGGCCACATGCACATAGCTTTTCTCTGCTTTCTGATCTTGGCCATTGTTCTGGTGTGGCCTTTGGGGATTTAGCTGTGGTCTGATCATTGGCAGGACTTTTCCCCAAGGTAAATGAGTATGAATATAAAAATTCCCATGGAAGGAAATGCATTTAATAGCTACCATGCTTGCTTTCTTCAGAAGCCAAGTCAGCCTATATCATGTGCCTGTCTATTAACTGAAAAGATTATCACAGGAAACAGGAAGAAGCCAGGTTTGTATTCAGGGGTGAATTAGTATTTTCTTACCCTTTCTCTCTCTTTCTCACCCTCTTCCTCCGTCTCTCCTTCCCCTCCCACACTGTTTCTCACTGCCTCTCCCCCGCCTCTGATTTTGTCTTTTCAAGTCAAGGGCAGGCCCACAGAAAACAAATACCACCGAGAGGGCCTCCTCACCAGCTGTGCCTGCGCCACTTGTTACACAGTGGTCTAGAGCAGCAGTACTAAAACGTCACATTATGGAGAACTGCCTTATACGAATCTAGAGAAATGCAGAATTTGAGGCCTACCCTAAACATATTAAGAGTCTGAAATTAAGAAGATCCCTGACTCTACAGATGCTAAAGCTTGTGGGGTACAATTCA